TGCAATGTCTTAGTAATATATTTTATGTAATATTTTTATTAGACGGATATCTATTTCATATAATGTAAACAATATTACGCCTGTTTCATATTATAAGTATTTTTCTCGAATACCTCGTTGGCCGAGTGGTCGCAAGTGCGACTGCCGGGCAAGGGGTCTCGGGTTCAATTCCCGGGTCGGGCAAAGTATTAATGGGTTTTAAAAATTCTCAGTAGTAGCACGGAGTCTGGAATTGTGCCCGGTATATGGCAATAGGCTCACCCCCTATTACATGGGACTCATAACATAAATAGTGAAAAGTGGGTGTTACATTGTACAGTGGTATAATGTGCATCTCTGCCTACCCCTTCGGGGATAAAAGGCGTGATGTTATGTTATGTTATGTTTATGTGTTATGTTTTCTCGAATATTTAGTTCATAAAGATCTCTTTCCAGCCATGTCATACTTTGATTAAACTGTCAATCAGCTAGTGTTACCACGATACATATACTACTTAACAAATTCTAACATAATATAACAACACAACTTTTTATCTCCGAAGGGGTAGGCAGAGGTGCACATTGCGGCACTTAATGCCACTGTACAATGTAACACCCACTTTTCACTATTTATGTTATACGGCCCATGTAATAGGGGGTGATGCCTATTGCCATATACCTGGCACATTCCAGACTCATTATGAAATAGTATTACTTTGCTCGACCCGGGAATTGAACCCGAGACCACTTGTTTGGCAGTCGCACTTGCGACCACTCGGCCAACGAGGCTGTCACAGATTCTCTAAGCAATATTTGTGGCTAAGTACAAGTCTAAGTAATTTCGAAACAGTTGAAATACTTATTTTATACGCATATTATTTAACAAAGTACCTATAGTACGGTTCACGAGTTATGACGGGTGTGAAGTTAGTCGCAAGTAACTTTCGCGCATGTATACTCGCAAATAAATTGATTAATCAATAAAACGTAACATACATAACATCACGCCTTTTATCCCCGAAGGGGTAAGCAGAGGTGCACATTATGCCACTGTACAATGTAACACCTACTTTTCACTATATGTATATGTTATGAGTCCCATGTAATAGGGTGTGAGCCCATTGCCATATACCGGGCACAATTCCAGACTCCGTGCTACTATTAAGATGTTTTTTTTAAAACCCAGCTATTCTTTGCCCGACCCGGGAATTGAACCCGAGCCCGGCAGTCGCACTTGTGACTACTCGGCCAACGAGGCAGGCAATCAATAAAACGATTGTTTACTTTGAGTCAATTTGTCGTCACGTCGTCGTTTTGGCATCTAAAATACGTTGTAGCACAGTTTTCTGCGCGAACTTCACACCCGTCATAACTCGTGAACCGTACTATAGTGTTTCGTTTCTTCAATGTGAGACCTAAGTAAGTTATAAGTATGTACTGTTATGATCATGATAAGAACATCATCTCTTAATATGGTATTAAAGCCATTTTGATAAAGATAAATATTTTAAGTAGGTACTGTTTTTAACGGTCTCTTTTTCAAAAATGTGTGTAAGAAGGCGGAATAATAATGTAAACTGTTTAATTTATATAAATCTTAGTGAGGAGCAATGTTTTTTTTAATGTATGAGCGCTTACCTATTTCATCATCAACAGCCTATAAATACCCGCTGCTGAGTAAAGCCTCTTCTCACACGGAGAAGGCTTGAGCATTAATCACCACGCTTGCTCAATGCGGGCCATTACAAACTTATAATATGAAATTATAAGTCCAGGTTTCCTCACGATGTTTTCCTTCACCGTTCGTCATTGGTGTCTAGATAATCTTAGAAAGTACATATAACTCAGAAAACGTCACATTGGTACTTGCCATTAGTAGGTTTCGAACCCGCACCCTCATGCATGAGAAGCGGGCGTCTTAAACCTCTGGGCCACCACGACATTACTTACCTAATTAATTTTCAGAATCTATTCCATTTTCAAATGAGTCATGGAGAAAAAAAACTGAATGTCTTGGAGCTAGGCGAATCTAGCATTGAATAATAAAAAAAATAACCATTTTTTAATAATCAATTTATCTAGGTACTTCTTCTATACTAATATAATATTATCAAAAATGAGATTAACATATAATTATCCAATCAATTACAGAACTAAAGTAAATTTTACCGAATAAAAGTCACCCTAATCTTACGGTCAAGATATGGGGCCGTTCAACCCCTAACTGTAAAGTTATTTTAAACAATGTTATGCCCCTAACTGACCATGCAAGCCCTCGATTTAATTCGGACCTTAGTAAAGATTGGTTTACATGGGGGTGAAACGAAATTGCAAAAAGAGGATTATAAATTATAATTAAGAATGTATTTTTATTTAATTGACTGATTCAATTAAAGGTGCATTTTTATAAAAATTTAATAATATGGTAGATGATAATTTTTATTTTATTGTCTGTCTGGTAGATTATTTAACATTGAACACGTATATTTAATTTTTTTACGGAAACGAATAATTTCCAAGATATATTGATTTGAAATGTCGCGTGACGTCACTTCAATGTGCATTTTATACGTAGAAATGACGTTTTAACCCCCACTCCTAAACTTTGATTCGTTATATCTAAGTATCATTTTATTGTACAACAAAATAAAAAAATACGTGTCTAATATTTTTTCATACCCTGTCATCATTCCTATTGTTTGGGTTTTAGTTTTAAGTGCAGAATATTTACCAATAGAAAAACTTCTATAAAACTTTATGAGGTTTACTAGACAAAATAATACAAACCCAATTAAGAAAAAGAATATAGCAAAATACTTTTTTTTATTCTACCCAAAACCCAAACTAAATTATTTATTCATCGTACTCCGTGTTGTAATAAAACTTGTAATACGTCAATTAATGGCGTCAATTGGTCACTGTGCTAAAGTACCGATTACCATATCAACTTATTGTTTTTAAAATCACAATGGCGGGTTGTCTGAAAATAACTAGGTAGGGACTCACAATGGGTAGACAACATATAAAACAATTAATCGTTAACGTGGTGAGGAATTTTTGGTACTCAACCTAACCACTAACTTGGATAACTCACTCAGTGACTTAGTCAGACCTAGTATCATATAAATGTAAAGGCCTTAGTAATAATTTATTATCCACTTAGTATTTTTATTCGAATTAAAAATGTAGAAATTAAATAAAACGAATATGAATAAATACTGCTTAAAAGACAGCAAATATAAAAGAAAACAAATAAATATAACTTAAACTAAAAAGTAGTATATACGAACGATAAGAAACTAAAAACAAAATCTTGTCCAGGTTAAATTAGCTTGAACTTAAAAACTGCAGTTTCAAAGAAACCTTCGTTATTAAAACCATGCTTCGGCACGAATGGGCCGGCTCGACCGGAGTGATACCACGGCCTTACAGAAAACCGACGTAAACCAACGCTTGCGTTGTGTTTCGTCGTGTGAGTGAGGTTCCCCTTGCTCAATCCTCAAATCCCAATAATCCTCAAATTCCTAATCCCAAAAGGCCGACAACGCACTTGTAACGCCACTGGTGTTCCAGGTGTCTATGGGCGACGCCGATTGCTTACCATCAGGGGATCCGTCTGCTCGTTTACCAGCTCATTCCATAAAAAATCTAATAAATATACATAACTAGGTATCATATAGAACTAAGGACCAGAATACATTAGTGAAATATAAACAACAGCGTCCATTTAAATAAAATTGTTCCTTCAAAATATACCCATGTAAGCTCCCCTTTACTCCTAACAGTTTACTATCGTTTATCGGAAAATCAGATTTACGAAGGGGTTTGTTTAGTATTTCTTTATATTTTTAAACGTTATTAGTCCCTTAGGCGTAGTTATTTAAGATAAGGGTTAAGAGTTACGTTTTAAAATAGGTAGCCTGTAGTTTTGGCTTATCGTGATTTGATTAAGATTATTTTCAAATGGAAAAAGAGCCTATGATTTTCATTGAGGTCTTTTTCTGTTCTGTTTTTGTGAGTTGACCAATAAGAATATTTAAGTAATATCTAATGTAAATGGCTGCCTGATCTAGATCTTACTTAAATCCCTCTGTCGTCTAATTCTTAAATCTAATTAATCTAAAATATATCATAAAGACACTACGTTACTCAATGCTTAAAACTTGCATTTTTTTCTTTTTCTCTGTATAGCAGACCGAGTCAAAGAAAACCGTTACATTCTAAAAAAAGAACACATTCGAACAATTTTCTTTTAAATCCGTTCCATTTTTAAAACACACAAGGTAAACGACCTCCTCGAACGTCGTTCTAGAACATTTACTTCGAATCCAGAATCCAGACTGTCTTCACAAACAAAGAATGGAAAAGCCTTTAAAAAAATCGTAAAAAAGCAGCAATTTTCAAATAGCCTTACTCAGGTGACAATAAAGCTGAGGACCCATGGGACGGTTAGTAATCGGGCTGGCTCGTAAAATGGAGTCTTCGCTTAGTTCGCACCTTTCGGTTTAGACCCGGTTGTAAAGTTCCCGCTGATGTAGACACACCTTAATGTTTCATTATAGGTTGGAGTTTCGGTGATGTGTTTGTTTTTAGGTGGGTTTTTAAAGAAGGTATTTGTGAAAGATTCTTTCAAATACTAAATTGTCAACACAGATCTAAGATCTCAATCAGAAGTTTTTTAAGTTTCTTTTTTTTTCTAAGTACGGACTAATAAGGACGTAGTATGTAGTTTAGGACGGAGTAATTAGGACCCTATTAAACGTGGATATGCTAAATAAGTAGGTATCTATCTACTTTATTGATCAATCACACTGTAAAACAACTTGGACTGCCTTTTTAATCTCTTTAAATTCTACTTAATCATATTAAAACATTATATTACATTAAAAGATTTAATCCAATTTTTTTACCTTACTTTTTATATTACCATAAAAATCCAGCTCACTAGAGTTACCTAAATAAAAAAATGTAAATTAAAAATTAAATTTAAATACAGAAATACATTTCATTTTCTTTCTAAAATGCAAATGTGAGTTTTAAATGTATAAATACAGAGTTCATTAGAAACTCCGCCTTTGGGCGGGCAGTGGGAGTGTTAGGGACACTCCCATCGAAGCAACAATTTTGGGCGGTATTTTTTCTTTAAATATCAAGTTGTATTTTCCGATGTATTATTAAGGATCTTTGTGATATATCTGTCGACATTGTGTGTTTAAAATTGAGAATTATAGTTAGGTATAGCTCGATTTATGTTGATGAGAAGTGACATCAATATAGAATTTCATTATGTATGAGATACTACATAATGGTGTAAATTACAATTTGAAAATGACAAATTACATTTTTCATTTTCTAATCTATGAAGCGAGATAAATATTGATGCTTTAGTATCTTTACAGCAGATCGTAATAGGCTACAAAGATGTTAGGTTCAGCAGTTCGCAATGAACAGCTGACGATCTGTATTTGTTAAACCTACTTTGGAATATGAAATGAATTAGCAATCGTATCAATGAACGGACATTTCGTTTGCATAACAGATGACCTCCCAAATATTAATTTAACAATGTTTTATTAACTTTAACACCCAAAAACTTACTATGACTTCAAAATCAAGATCACAGAAGTCTAACATCTTCTTCTCTTTACAGCATACTCGAGCTTCGAAAAGAGAAGAGTAGAGATGCAGCGCGTTCTAGAAGAGGAAAGGAGAACTACGAGTTCTATGAACTGGCGAAGATGCTGCCACTACCAGCTGCAATCACCAGCCAGTTGGACAAGGCTTCAATTATAAGGCTGACAATTAGCTACCTCAAGTTACGGGACTTCTCTGGTCATGGTGATCCTCCGTGGAGTCGGGATCCTCCGCCGTCCAGTAAGGCTTTGAAAGGTATGTGGCTTACGTGATTTTTTAGCATACAATGTGATGAGATCCAAGATAGTAATTTCATTCTTTAAACTTTTTTATTCAGAGGACGTGGGCTTGTTTTGTTATAATTTAAATATTATTTGTGTGTAGGCACTTAGGTAGCTACCTCCGCAAAACCGAATCTTTGAATATTAATATCTTTTGGATTAGATAACTTAATTCTGTAGATATTTTACAAATCATGGAGCTTACCTTCATATACAATTGGGAATTGAAAAACACTATCGTATGAAGAATAGGTGGGAGGTTTTTAGTGTGGGAGAGCCATGCTTCGGCACGAATGGGCCGGCCCGACCGGAGTGATACCACGGCCTCACAGAAAACCGACGTGAAGCAACGCTTGCGTTGTTTCATCATGTGAGTGAGGTTACCGGAGGCCCTATAACTCCCTCCCCGTCCCCAATCTCCCCAATCCCCCTATGAATCCCCAACGATCCTCAAACTCGTAATCCACGCCGCTGGTGTTCCAGGTGTCCACGGGCGACGCCGATTGCTTACCATCAGGTGATCCGTCTGCTCGTTTACCGGCTTATGCCATAAAAAAAAATTAGGCAATTTACTTACCTAATAGAAAGATCCTTTGCCTCTAAACAAAATATTCTAGTAAGAAGGTACTTTCTAGTATGAATAAATCAATATGTATGCGAATTGGAAACTAGTCAATGAATAACATCCGGTCTCGCTTTGTTTTGTAAGTATTCCTTCTTAGTCATACTTTTATCCGGTTAGAGGTACACTTATAGAACCTGGGTACACCGGGTCCTCCTATGGTCAGCAGTGTCGCGGAGAACCTAACGGGTAACCGGGGCTCCGGCTCGACGTGCAGGAGAAGGAACGGGGTGGTTTTTAGTCAGTAAGAGTCTGACACTCCCTTCCGCCTCACCCAGGCGGGAGCAGTCATTCGATGACTTTCCCCCCTTAAAAAAAAAAAAATGGTCAGCAGTGGCCGCTTATAGGCTGTTGATGAATGTTACTATGATAACCATTTGATAATTTTAGACCTCACAAGCAAAAATAAGACCAACTGAATAATATGGCCGTATACTCGGATACGGTCTTTACTTCTGGATACCTTTTTACAAGATTTCTTTACTTTCTAATTAGAGAAGTCTTTTATCCCTGAAAGAGTAGGCAGAGCTGAGTACACCTAATTTTCAGTATTTATGTTATGAGTCCCATGTAATAGTGGGTGAGCCTATTGCCATATACCGGGTACATTTCCGAACTCCGTGCTACTACTGAGGTTTTTAAAGACACAGTAATACTTTGCCCGACTCGGGAATCGAACCCGAGACCCCTTGCCCGCTAGTTTGCTGTGGCTTTTAGCCAAAAACACAACCCTTTAAATTTCCCAGTTCCCACTACACAAAAGCCACAAAACTTGTCCCACACTGAGTAAGTTGGTACATGTCTACACTACACCATAATCGAACTCCCTCCCTCTCGCTATGCAAAATGACAGACTAGCTTTAAAATAACGTTGGAGGGTTAGCAAATCAGATTTGCCTTCGTCAAGTCATTGTCTAACTAACTACGTTAGCGCACCCTTTGTAGCGACAGCAAAACAAGTGGTGGTATGTACCGTCAGCAGAATAGGTAAGGTGATTGTTAGTTATTCGTATTGTACTTAGGTTTGTTTTCGAATGGTTTAAAGGTTTTTGTGGAATTATAAGAGACATAATTTATAAAAGACATGTACAAAGACTTTTTTGAAGTCGGTTAATTAAATAATTAATTGCGGTAGCATTTACCTAATAAGGGTACATAAAAAAGTATGATTAAAGTCAAAGTCAAAGCATTTCTTTCAATTAACTCGTCGAGTACCGTATTTATAGACACAATTAAAGAACAATAGGTTGCGGTCACCGGTGACCGCTCGGTGTTTGACAGTTTAAACCATAATTTGGTGCATTTAAAACGTCAGTAAATACAAAATAAATAATAGTCTGTCAGTCAGTCTGTCAGTGAAGCTAGGTGAAGCTAGGTGTTCATTTCAAAACGTAGATTCGAATGGAGAAGAACGAGGAAGGAACTCCATTCGTTACTCTTTTTAAAAAGTATGTTCTATAATGTCTCTGATATATAATATATTCCATGATCTACTAGAGACATGCCACAATTATTATCTATATTTGTACAAAAGTTCGCACAGTGCGTTAAAATCAAATCGTTGTGGACAAAAAATAAAACCACGCGTAAATCAAAACAATGTGAACCGAGGCGTATTCACAAATAAAATGCGCAAAGGGACGCTGATTCACCGCAATCTGTCAAATAAATACTTTCTTCGCACAGTCGGGTAAAGAATACAGTAAACATTTGTTTTATTGATATACATAAACACATGTGTATTTGATTGCAAATGTGTTATTTGTTTTGTGTTTTCTACTTTCAATATTGATTTTTTTTGTCTTACAGTAGAAATAAACACTTAAATTTTTTCTTTCAATTTTGAATACTAAAAAAGAGAATGTTTTTTAATTATTATGTTTTCGGCTTACTGACGTAACTGTTTGACGAAGAACTCGACTAGTTTCAAGCCATGCTAAAGGCTCATATTCATGAGAAGAAACGCGACGCGGCGATTGTCGCTGTGCTTTTACGGTGTGTGTCGTTACTAGTCGACTTTCTAGTCATAACGGGTAACCGGGGCTCCGGCTCGACGTGCAGGAGAAGGAACGGGGTGGTTTTTAGTCAGTAAGAGTCTGACACTACCTCCCGCCTCACCCAGGCGGGAGCAGTCATTCGATGATTTCCCCCCTTAAAAAAAAGTCAAATAGTTACGTGAGCAAACCGAAAAAATAATAATTAATTTAATACGTCTGACGAAATGTGAATGTATTTGATATCAAAATGGTTCAATCTGTAACTCAGGAAAGTTTAGGTCATTTAATTTATAAAATAGCTATTCTCTATCATAGACTAGATTTTTATAGTATTTATTCAACTTATTTTAGGAGGGAATGTCTATACAGCCCTTATTTAGCTATCATAATAAGCGAAAATTGTGATTTGTATGAACTGATCCTGTATGAATAGAAATATACATTCGGTAATGTTTCCTTCTTCACTTAGACTCACTAAGTAATCTTCAGATCTAAAAGCAATGTTTATTCATTAACCAAGTATTGTGCAAATCCTAAGGTAGTCTATTGATATATCAACTAACTAATTACCAAGTTAATTACTAGACAGATTAAAATATGGAATGAGTACATTTCAATATCTTCTTAGAAATAGTTATGAGCAATGATCTGTGTGTTCATTGAATCTATCATTTATTACACAATGTTTTTAACGAACATTAGCTCTTAACTCGTCTAGTACCGGTTTTATAGACACAATTAAAGAACAATGGGTCGCGGTCACCGGTGACCGCTTGGTATTTGACAGTTTAAAGTTTAAATTTAAATATATTTGTTACCCGACTAACTTCGCTTAACTGTGACAAAAATAACTGCGTGAAAATACAATGACTCTTTAAAATTAATACAGTCACAGATGGTTTTGATTGTCTCTCTAAGATCCACAGATATTGAAGAATAAAACACAAGCGGTACAAAACAGATCTTATTGGAATTTAAAAAATTGCCAATATAAAACCAAATCACACACGGGTACATTGACAAAGAGCTTTTTTAACACACAGTGCTCCTAAATTCGTAACAAGTGTACCAATAAAACGCCCTCGACAAATCCAATTTTGGCCCCTAATGCGCTTAATGCGACCACGGGGCGAATCACTACGTATGCCACTGTCATTTTAACTCAATTTTGAAGGTGGGTACTACGTATTCAAATAAAAATATTCAAGACAATAAAACACGAGTGTTTAGGGTGTCAAGTTATTCTTACAAAATGTTATTGTGGGGAAAATTTTGTAGTTTGAATATACTTGTATGCAATAAAGGTTTAGGAAGGTAATTTACGAAAATACAGTCGGTGTCGTAAAAAATTGTGCGTCTCATATGTCGCCTTTAGAATTGTTGGATTTATTGGGTACATACATCAGTTTTGTGTTTTGTTTAGAGGTAGTAGCTTTAAAAGTAATAGAGTGAGGTATGTTAGTATTAGTCAAGGGTGTATTAACTAATGGGGCTGCTTCGGGTGTATTAATGTGAAGAATCCTTTTAATATCTAATGAAGATTTAGTAGCATCTGTACCTACATAGAGACATAATATGATTTAAGTTAAGTTCTATATAATAATTAATTTTGTATAAAAATTCTCATTTCTTTTAAAAAAAAGGAACTATGCCGCTATTTTGGATTTTATCCTGTGTCGTGGGTGCGTTTACAAACATTCAATATCACATACATATGAGTCCCAGAGTCCCAGACCCGAAACAACAATACATACATAGTGGGTAACACAAAGAGTTGCTTCGTGAGGGAATCGAACCCACTACCGTTGCCCAGCCATCACGCCAACCATGCAGTATTGGACTACACATTTAAAAAACTTAGAACTTAGTCAGTTTTTAAAATGTCACACTTCAGTTTCAATAGCATTTAAAATTTGAACCCCACAATCAAGTAACAAGATCAAGTTTTAAACCACAAAGAAACCAAGAGGCTTATCTAATAATCTAATAATACATCTGTCAACATCCAAATTGTAAAATACACCTTTAAAAATAACTAATTAATTCTGTAGGGATGTCCCCCACTGTAACAATACGCGCCGAATTGGGACAAAATTTTTAATCTAATCAATTAACAATCAGTGCAAGCGATATACCGCTTGTTACTGCTGCTTATTTAGCCAACGTGACTGGGTTATTTAAAATTCGTACTAGGGTACGTTTGACGATTTTGTCTGGCCCGTTTAATTGGTGTAACCACTGTGTCTTGTGGTTTGAATTCGGGTATTTCGGGTAGGTTCTTTTGTTCATTGTTATATTTAGGGCATGTTAAATGTGTCAGTGTGATGTGTGTTAACAATGCATCTGTTGACAGTA